TGGGTGTCCCGATGGTGTCCCGATGGTGTCCCGATGGTGTCCCGACGGTCTCGATGATGTCCCGATGGTGTCCTGACCAATGGTGCCCTGATGGTGTTCCGATGGTGCCCCAATGGCGCGCCGATGGTGTCCCGATGGTGTCCAGCATCGCCATCATGTACCGTCATCAGCTCGCGAGCGCATCTTCAGCATCGTCACCATCACAATCATCGAACTTGTTATCAATTGGCTTCTTCCCCCGAACGGTGAGAATGAAGAGCCCCGCCCCGGGAACTCGGTTTCGGTTTCGGGTTCGTGTGTTGGCTTGGGCGCGTGGCGGGCGGGTTCGTGTGCTGGCTAGGTTGTCCCGCCGTGGTGTCCCGATGGTGTCCCGTGGTGTCCCAATTGTGTCTCATGAGGTCCCGTGACGGTGTCCCGTGAGGTCGATAGTGTGATCGATAGGGAGGTCGAAAGTGAGATCGACAGTGAGATCAATGGTGACATCTATAGTGATACCGACAACGGTACCGATAGGGAGATCGATAGTGATGTCGATAGTGATGTCGAGAGTGAGATCTATGATGAAATCGATAGTGAGATCGGCAGTGAGATAGATAGTGCGATCGACAAAGAGATCGCTCGAGACATCAAGTTTGAGATCGAAAGCGTGATCGATAGTGAGATCGATAGTGAGACCTATAGCAGATCGATAGTCAGATAGATAGTATACTACATAGTGATATTGCTAGGGAGATCGATCGTGAGTGGTCGATACTGTGATCGATAATTAGTGGGATCGACAGTGAAATCGATAGTGAGCTCAATAGTGAGATCGATAGTGAGCTCGATCGTTAGATCGATAATGGGATCGACTGTGAAATGGCATGTGAGATCGATTGGGTGAGACGTTGATTCCGCCCCGAACCTCATTCACACCCGAAGGGTGTTCGTATGGGTACGCTCCCATGAACCGCTACAGCGCCATGTTGCACTATGCTATGGAATGCCATGATACGCCATGCTACGCTATAAAGCGCGATGTCACGATGCAGTGTGCAATGCAATGGCATGATATACTCTACAGTGCGCGTTGCATGCCATGCCATGCTGTGCTGTGAAATGCTATGCTAATACATGGGATGATGTGCTGAGCCATATCATGCTATGTTTCCTATGAACACCGATGCTACCGCGACACACGGTATGCAAAAAGCACGGCATGCCGGGCTATGCAATGGAATGCAATGCTATGCCGTGTTATGAGCTGCTCGGCTATAATAACCAATTCGACAATAAAAACAACAACGGGGATATGATATTTGCGTGGTTTCTGTTTACTGTTGCGCGGAGCAGTACCGTTCTGTTCGATTTATTTCTGTGCAATGGAATGCCATAGTACGCCACGATGTGTCATGAGATGCAATGCCATGCTAGGCAATGTACGTCATGACGTGCAGTGCTAGGTTCATCTAGACACTGCTATGGGATGCAATGCTATGGCATGCTGAACCATGCTGTGATATGCACTGACACGGTTAGCTCTGTCGTGCTGTGCCGTGTCAGGTCATGTCATGCAACGCTGCGATGCCACAATAGGCTAGGCGGTCCATTGCTATGCACAGGTAGGTTTTGAAGGCAGCTTGGGGGGCGTTTGGGGTGCTCTGGGGGCCTCTTTTGGGGCCTCTTTGAGACCTCGTGGGACCTCTGGGGGGCCTCTAGGGGGCTTCTTGGGCTCTCTTGGGGGCCTCTTGGGGCCAGCTCGAATTGTCGGTTCGTGTTCCCCCTCTTGGGCCCCTCTTCGGGCCGCTTGGGGGCTCTCTTGGGCGATCTTGGGCGCCTTTTGGGCTGGACACTCTTCGGCCGTCTTGGGACTCTCTTGCGCCGTTGTGGCGCCCCCTTTGGATGCCTCTTGGGCCGTCTTGGGGCTGATTTCTGGGGTCTCGTGGGCTGTCTTGGATTGTCGGAAGCACGAAACAGCGAGAACACTAACAAACCTTCCGAAACTATCCAACGAATCCACTTGTTTCGCCTCCTGAGTGCATCGTGGGAGTCTTTTTGAGGTCATCTTAGCCGTCTTGAAGCCCGCTTGGGCTGTCTTCAAACTATGTTGGACCAATTTTGAAACGCTCTTGTGCGGTCTTGGGCTCTCTTGGAGCGCTCTTGGGCCATCTTGGCGTCCTCTTGGACGCCTCTCGGGCCCTCTCGTCGCCCCCATTCCCCTCCTTTGACGCGTTCTGGCAGCCCCGCTGGGTCCAAAACGGCCAGGAGACAAATCAGTGCACTCCGGGCCCCCCGGGACCCCCCTCCCCATTTTTGAGATAAATAGATGTGTATATATATATGTATGTATATATATATATACATATACACACATATATATGTATATATATATGTATAAAAGGTGTAGGCGTATATACATATATATATATATGTATATACATACATAGATGATGTATGTGCTGTGCTGCGTGCTCTAGCGCGGTCCCTGTCCACACCGGCCGCCCGAGGCGCGAGAGTCCTGGCCTTTCGCGTGCCACGCACACATTGGATACCCCCCTCCTTGCTTGCAGCTTACACGTCGGAACAGGCGCCGTACGCATCTGGAACACCTCGCCGTGGCGCCCAAACACGCGAAACCGCGTGCCAAATGCACGCGTGCGAGGCGCATGTTGGATACAACCCTCGGGCCCTTCTGTTACGAGTTCAGAGTCCGCTGGCCGCATCTCTTCGATATCCTCCCTTGGCGCCACATTACACTGCAGAAGCACGTGCAAAATGCACGCGCGCCAATCGCATGTGCCAGATGCACGCGTGACAGACGCCTGCTCGATACCCAATACCCACCCTTCAGACGCGTATGTTTACGCATGGAGAATCTGGCGCCCCAGACGCACGTTCGACCCCAATTCCGCCAACGCCCCTTTACGTCTTAAGAATATTCCCATTTAGGATATCCCCCTTGACCCCATCGTGAGCGAAATGGATGCCGCCATAATCTCCTCGGTTTGAAGCAGCATCCCTTGCATCGGTCGCCGCCGCCTCGCCACCGCGGCCATCGCCAGTCAAATGCTCCAAAGCTGCCTCTCTCCTCCTTCCTCCCGCCGCTCTCCTCCTCCTCCTCCTCCTCCACCTCCTCCTCCTCCTCCTCCCCCTCCTCCCCCTCCTCCTCCCTCTCCTCCCCCTCCTCCTCCATCCCTTCCCGTGTTCCCTCCTCCCTCCAACCTCCCGCCTACGTCTACTCCTCCTCGTCTCCCTCCGCCTCCTCATCCTCCCCTCTAACCACCCCAACTTTGCAACACGTGCGTAGTGTCCGTTTCCTCCGCCCTCCTCTTATTTGTCCGCCTCCTCATCCTCCCTCCCTCCTGCCCATACTTGGGGGCAAGGCCTAGCAGGCCGAGGGAAAGCCCAGGAGTAGTCCCCAGGGAGAAACCTACTGCCTCACATCGCCCCAACGCAGCCGCACCCAGCCTCCACGCGGCGTCAATTGCCCCCGCGCGCTCCTGAACTACCAGACAACGCCGCTCGAGTCCCCACGTCCCCACGGGGTTCCACGCCCCCCCCCTACACACACACGTTTAAACCAGCGGCGCAGGGGATCCTCAGGCACGAACAGCAGATGGATGTGCTTACTACGATCGAACACGTTCGAAGCTACAGTGTACAAAGTGTGCACGCTGTCAAAGCAGCGATGGGTGGTGTGAAGGAGGAACTGTAAATCAAAGCGAAGCGTACAGCGGCCAGAAAATCGAGGAGGCGACACACACACACACACACTTTTTAGTCAGCGGCGCAAAGGAACCTCAAGCGCGGTCGGCAGATGGAAATTCCAACTTAGTCGAACGCACCGTGATGAAAAGATCCAGACACAGCCGTCCAGACAGGTGACAAACAGAACCAAGAAAACATCACAGAGGACATCGCCGTCATCCTTAACGTAATGTGTTCTCTCCTGAACGGCCCATGAGCCTCCATGAGCACCTTATCTTTGCGCCAATGGGGGTAACCGAGTCTCCGCTGCCACGCGCCATTTCTTGTCGCTCCCTTGGGGAGGACGAGAATGATGTCATAACCAGGTGGGCTCTAGATAATCCTGAGGAGCTCCAGGTAATTATCTGACAGCCCTCGCCTTCTGGAGCCCGCGCGGAACGAGCGGGAATCTCGGAGACCTTGGGGATCCCAGAACCCTTGGAGGGAATCGGTGTCATGGCTTCCTGATCCTTTGGTGGAGAAGGAGCAGAAGGAAGAAAGAAAAAGAGGACGGGGAAAGATGATGATGCAGGAGGAGGAGTGGAAGGTAGCGGGACCGGCCCCCAAATTCGCCGACCCCTTGAAAGTTGCTAGGCGTGTGGCTCGAGTATGCAATGTCCGTACCATTATTCTGGGCTCCTCCAGGCTCCTTGGGGCTCTCCAGATTACTCCAGATTCTTGCACGTCCTCCATATTCCTCCAGATTCCTCCAGACTCAACAGGGTTCCTCCTCAGTCTTTCAGATTCCCGTGAAACACCAGTTCCACCCAAGACAGCTCAAGGGGGGTTCAAAACCAATCCCAGAGGAAGAACTCGGACCTGCATCTCAGACCCGCAAGAAGCTCTTGGAAGCCCGAGCAATCCAAGGGGGCGGCGGCGCGGCGTAAGCCCAAAATAATCAGGACATCGGAGGTGCAGGAGCAAGGAAGAGAGACACCCACCACCACCAGCGCGAGGAGCCAAGGGGGTGTCCTCGTGGTGGTGTGGCCACCTCTCCCCGCTCGAAACATCCCATAACCCCAGCTCGGGAAGGCATCGTGGACTTCCTCGGTGGAGGCGGTACCCCAGGCGGTAGTGGTGGTGTCGCCTTTTTGGAAACCTAGATGTACCGATCTCGCTACTCCCCGGACCTCTCCCGAGGTGCGATCTGACCAGAATTTCAGGGCGAACCTAGCGGTGGCGACGAGGGCCTCCCAGGAGGCCCCCAAAGGGGAAAACGACCTTTTCCCAAATCTGAGCTCTGCTCTCAAGGTGCGGTGCGCGGTTCGTTTTTTGCCCACCGAGCGGGCAGAACGTCAGAGCACGGCCCTTGCCGCGCGCCTGCGGGGGGCACCCGCTCAGGGCGGCCTGCCCTTCTGAGGGAGGCAGCTCGGCACCTGGTGCTCGCCCTGACCATCTCGCGCTGTCCCCCCACCGCCGTAGCATTCGAGGGTCACCAGAGAAAGAGTGAGGGGCGAGGACGAGGAGGATGCCGACGGGGAGGGCGAGGATGAGGACGGCGCGGCCATGGGGCCGGATGTGGCCCTGAGCCCAAGCCCAGACAACCGATGGAGAGTCAAAACCCGCAGGAGCGTAAAACGTTCGGAGTCCCGCAGCGCGGCCCAGGGCCCCGCAAACAGGAACTTTGGCAAGGCAGGGAGCTGCCGCGCCCCAGAAAACTGCGGTCCACAGCGGCTCCCCATTCCTCATGCTTTCCCTCGCTGCACCTTGCAGGCTCCTGGCCTGCAATGTGCTGGTTTGCGGGGCCCTCACGCCCTCACGCATCCCTGGCCAGCGCCTCCCGCGCCGCCCCTCGTGCGCTCAGCGCGCCCGGGAGGGGACGCGGGGAGGGATTCGTGCCGCTTGGCTCGGCGCCCGAGCCACGAGTCGACGCTGAGCTTCTTGCGGCCACCGGGAGCGGCCAGCACGCTGGAACCTCTGCGCTGGACCCTCGTCGAGCGCAGGGGGAGGGAGGGAGCCGACACCTCAGACGGCCACTGAACACTCGACGTGCTTCGGGTGCATCTGCATGTACGGGATGGCCCGCCCCTTGTTTCGGGCGTCAATGGTCTTTGCGACATCCTCCATCTTCGCGCGGAACGCGTGGAAGGCTCGCGCCGCCTCCGCGCTCTTGTCGATCCCCTCCGAAAGGTGGCTGAAGTCCTGGCTGATCTTCGGCCAGGTGGTCGAAGTTGTGGCTGAGATGAGCGAGAGCTGAATGGCCTGCCGCGGCGGAGTGTACGCCCTGCCTCGCTCCCACGAGAAGCCGGCGAAGTCCGGGTCCGCGGCGCTGTCGGCCACCGTCCCCACGTGCCGGTGGTAGCCAGTGACTTGGAAGAAGAGCATGGTCAGCCATTTCTGCAGCCCCTTGCACTGGAGGCTCCCGTCCTCGCCGTACAAACCCAGGAACAGCGCATCCGTCTTCATGTGCTGCCTGTACATCGACCACGTCTGCGCGCGCTCGAAGAACAACAGCACCGCAGGGTCCACGACGGCATCGCCCGCGCACCACTGGCCAGCATAGAGGTCAAACCAGCTGTCCACGAAGTCCTTGAGTGCATCGAAGATGAGCTGACCGTCCTGAGCGTAGGGTGTCTCCTGCACTCGGGCGGGCAGGGTACTTCTGAGTGTCTCGTTCATGAAGAAACCAAACGACGTCGTCAGCGGAGGGATGGAGACCTCTGCAAGCAGGGAAACCTCGCGGAAATCGTAGAAAGGCGTGCTTCGCTGGAGCAGTGCGTCAGGCCCCAGCAGCTGGTGGAACGCGTTGGTGTTGACCTGGATGGTGTTGAACGTGAACATGGTCAGCAGACGTCTCAGCGGATGGGCCGGGGGCAGAGCCTCCCGTGCTGCCGCGGCCATGGAGCTGCCCGCGGTGAAGTGGGTGGCCCAGAGGTGGTCCACGAGCGTGACCTTGAGGAACAGCGAAGAGCGAAAGGCAAACTTCCAGTACTGCCACGTCGCCGACTCCGCCTCCGCCCTCCACACGTCCTGGCCATCGGGGGTGCGGATCATCATCGGCTCCCCCGCCTCGTTGAAGAACATGTCGGCTCCGACGCGCGAGAAGCCTGGGCGAACGTCCAGGCCACTGAGGTCGGACGTGATCAGCTTGAAGGCCGCGCCGCCGGCCTCTTCGGGCGAGCCGGCAAGGACGGCCTCGATGCGATGCGAGCCGTAGTGCTGCCACGCGAGGAAGTTCTCCGCATGGTCTGACCACTTGCCGTTCGCCATGTACCAGAGCCCAGCGAAATCGATCATCTCCGCCGGGTACGCGGGGTCGCCGTCCTGCGTGGTGTAGTTGAGGTACACGCCCCGAACGAACTCCTTCCTCGTGCACGTCCTCTGGCGCTCCTTGAAGGGGCAATGCGACGAGATCCCCGGCAGTGTCCCCATGACCCGGTCCCACGTGTTCTTCCCAGTGTCGAGGTCGTCCACCAAGTCCAGCTGACGGATCGCGTCGATGGCGCACGTCTCCCCGCCATCGAGGCCCTCGCTGTTGGTGTCGATGTCGTTCGTCGGCAGCCCGATGAAGCTGTAGACGATGTTTCTGTCGAGGTACTCCTGGGAGCTGGGCAGAACGATGCGCTTGCTGGGTGGATCTCTGGACCCGCTAAAGGATCGCTGTTGGAGGTGCAAGATTACCACCACCATGCCCGTGGTGTAAGTGTCGAACGTGGTCGGATCCAGGGCACTGGAGTCCGGATCCTTGCCGAGGATCCTTGCGATGAAATGGTTGTGCTCCTGCTCCGGGATGAGATTGTAGTGGAATGAGTAGGAAGCCTTGCTCAGCTCGCCGAACGCAGTAATAGCCATCTTTATCCAGCTCGGGCACGCATTGACCTTTCTGCTGCAACTCATGGGAGCCTGCCATACCATGATGTTGGCTCTCACCAATTGACGCTAGGTCGACGGTCAATCAGTGCTCTCTCATGGATTACAAGACGCTAACCGACGCTAATGCACTCTAGAGTCGGAATTACGAGGGTACACAGGGCTCCCATGATTTGCTAGCGTGTGACCCTCTGCCGCAGCGACACGACATCTGAGACCACCTCCATCTTGAAACAAGAGTCGTCGGTCGGCGTCACGTTGCCTTGCGCGGCGAAGCTCCGCGGGCTCAGGACCTGAAACAGGGTGTCCTCCGTGCTGCTGCAGACGCTCCAGGTGGAGCGCTGCAAACCCTTCTTGAGCTGCTGGGTGTCGTGCTTCTTGAGCTCTGGCTGGGAGGCGCTGCCGAGTGGATTGCTCTTGCTGGGCACGATAATGTTGTTGGAATAGTCGGCACAACCTTTGTAAGTATCCAACCATACTGCGGCCTCCCGGGCAGCAATCCGGTACTCGTAGACGCAGATGTTCGCTTTGGAGAAAAGCCAATTTGAGCCTTCCTTGCTGATCCGCTTCAAAACCGCCACCTCCGAACTCTGGAACTGAAAACTGCCAAGCCTACCAGTGGCGGCACCAGACTGCTTGCCTTCTTCAGCGACCGACCACTGCAAAAAATCGGCGTGGAATTGCAGCGACCGCTCGAGTGGCACATCGGGAATGTCGTAGAAGTCGTACCAATCTTTTTTGAAGCCCTCCTTGCAGTGCGGCGACGAAGTATATTCCATGTAACACCAACCGCCCTTCAGAGGGCCCTTGCCGTATATGAAATACTTTCCACCGGCCGCCTTCACGGCCCGAGCGCACTGCCCGACCGTCGTGAAAGAACTGATATACAAGTCTGGGCTGTCGCACTCCACGTGTTCCTTTATCAGGACCTCGCCCTCGGAGAGGTCTTGCTCGTACGGTGCGGGCACCTTTAGGTCGGAGGGCGGACTCCAGAGCGGCGGCTCGTCGGCATCGTTGAAATTGCTGCACTTCACCGCGCCACTGCCGTGCGACAGCAGCTTGCCCTCCCTCTCGAGCTCGTCGAACGATCCCATCATCTTTGCGCACACGGCAGCGCCAATTTTCAGAGAGAGGCAGTGTCCTGGGCAGTGACGCGGCGCACGCTCCAAGGAGCGCGCCTCGACGTCCTCCACACGCCCGTTCCATGAGAGCGTGTCCTTGAGATCGGAACGCGCAGGGTCGAAGTCGTCCGCGCGCATCCAGTGCGTCGGATCTCGGTTGGCGCTGGCGAGGACGAGCTGAGCGGGTGTGCCTTCCTTCAGCGTGATGTTCCTGCCCTCGAGATGCATGGCCTGGTCCTCGCGGAGCAGCTCGGTCACAGACGTGACAGCCGAGTCGTACCGCATCAGCTCGATGAGGTACTTCTCTGGGTTCTCCTTGAAAAGGGCCACGTGTGCCGCATCCCGCTGCTGGTACACAACGCACTTCATGACCATATCCGTTGTGCCCACCAAGCCCGCAAACAAGGTTGCGAGCGTGAGGTCGTCCAGTAGCCGGTCCTCGTCCAGGAACCAGGGGTTGGCCGGCCCGTGCGCCTCAACGGCCCTGCGCAGGAGATCGCGGAACGGCGTCGTCTTCGCCCAGGCCGTCACGCTGGCGCTCGCTTCCTTTACCGAGTCCGCAATTCCGGTGGGCCCCAGGGCGAAACGGTGGATCTCCTCATAAGAAACACCTGCATAAGCATGATGACTTTCGGAGGTCCGCGGGGATCGGCGCTGGACCTGGACCCCCCTTCTCTCTGGCGCGCGGAGTGTGGCAGGGGCGGCGCCAGAGGTGCCGCCAGGGGGCTCCAGCGCAGATCCAGGGAGTCCGCCCGGACTTCCGAAAGCCTTTTCGCTTGTGCCGATGTCTCTTCTTCGACAGAAGTCTCCTGGATGGGGTCCGAGGAGATGGGCTCGGAGGATCGCGCCGCATCGCCGATGCATTGGCGACCTCGGCGATGCATCGGCGCCAGCGGCGTAGAGAGATTCTCGCTCCACATCGAGCCGCATCGTCGATGCATCGGGGATGCGAAGCGATCCTTCGACCCCATCCACTCGGCCCCCCTCTGGGAGGCCTGGAGGCTCCTTGCCGAAAATCGCATACTTCCCAAACCTCGCGTAAGTTCCCATGGCCTCCTCGGCCTCTGGCGTCGGGTCCGCGCCCCAGATGCCCTTCATGACCAGCGGGCCCACGGCCGCAGCGACTTCGGCCTCGCCGGGCGCCCGCCCGCCAAGTGCCGGGATTGCCCGCACGAGGCTGGCGTCGACGTGGTAGCGCCGCGCGAAGCCTGCGAGCTCGAGGAGGCGGCGGAAGCTCTGGTGCCTGTCGCCGTCGACGAAGAGGGGGCCCTCGGGGTGGAAGAAGTCCGGGTGCTGGGGCGCGGTGGCGGTGTAGTAGCCGCGCCTCTGTCCAGGGTCGTGGAGCCTGGGCTGCACCTGGGAGTACTTGAAGATCATGGGGCCGGACGCCAACGGGTTCGGCTCCCAACACGTCTTCCACGCCGCGTTGTTGAACCAGGTGGTACGGTTGCCCCCGTCCGTGAGGATGAGCGTTGGGAGGAGCGCGAACATGAGCCCCGCCGCGCGCACCCCGTCCCAGGTGGGCGTGAAGGGCAGAGACAGGGGGCCCTTCCTGAAGAGGTCGTCGTCGGTCGCAGGGTTGATGGCTGGCGGCGCGCACCACGAGGGGGCTGCAGCTCGAGGGGGGTGGCCGTCTCAGAGGGCGGGGGAGCCTCAATACTGTAGAAAGGGGCCCAGGGAGGCACAAAGAAATCTACACAAGCCCCCAAATGCTTCCTACTTACACATATTTTCTGGATTCCCGTCTTCCACTCCACTCCCCATATTTTCCCATATTCCCCTGGGCATCGAAGATGATTTGCGTCTGTGTCTATTTATCCCTCCTGACTCTAGGAAGGCCGGCTCCGCTTCCAACGCTCGTGCTGGAAAGCCTCCGGGCCCCCCTGAAGAGGCCCCCTGCCTTCTGAGAAGGCCCCAGCCTTCATGGAAGCCTGCCACCCCCCCCTCGCGCCGCCAACCCTTCAATGTGTAAGACGAGGGCAGGACAAAGGACAGAATCGGGGATCTCTCAGATCTGGCGATTCTGAAGCATCTATTGGGCACCGCGGCTTTCCCAGAACGTTCCCTGACGCTCTGAAACGATGTGTCCTTATCCTGGCCCCGCCCCACCACCCCCCGTGTGTGCCACCAGGATGGGGCGGTCTTCGCCGTCGGACCAGATCCAGACGTTAAGCTCGTTGAAGAGCTGCACGACCTTGGAGATGCCGGGATCCACCAAAAGGGGTGGTGACCCTGAGAGGTGGGGCATGAGTTCGATCCACTGGTGCACCGAACTGCCGCAAACAGATGCCCCCCGCATAACCCGCCTATCGGCAACTATCGGGAGCTGCCGGCGGCGGGGGGGCATCTGTTTTGGGCGGTTCGGTGTAAAAACGATCGAACTCAACGCCCCCCTGGGGCACACACCCCATTTGAGGGATCCGAGATGGTGCCCCCGACCTTCTGCGCAGCGGCGACGCGCTCGGAGTGCGACGTCAGGGGGCAGAAGCCGTACGGGTTGTAGACGGCAAGGCGCCCTGCCTAAGACGAGGCCAGGACAGGGACAACATCGGACCAAGATAAATTGGAGACCTCTGAGACCCGGCGGTTCTGGAGGATGTTGGGCGCCGCGGCCCTTCCAAAGCGCTCCAGAACGCCCTGGGAGCATTTCGGAACGCTCTGCAAACGATGTATCCCTGTCCTAGCCCCGAACGACCTCCGTCCAGGGAAGGGCCATGCCCGCCGCGATGGGCTTCCTGCCCCCCTTCGCCAAGTCGGCCCCGAACGTGGAGCCGCCGTCGCCCTCGAGCGCGCTCAGGTACTCAAGGGTGTAGCTGAAGAGGGCCTCGTAGAGCGCATTGCTGTGGGCCTGCTTCTCGAGCGCGGCGAACAGTTCCTCCTCGGCGCGCGGCAGTCGCGTGCAGACGCACCCCTTCCCCGCGTACTTCTCCGCGGCGAAGTAGTACCGCCTGCTGATGTCGGATGTGTCGAGCACGTCTTGGGGGACGGTGACTGACCACCTCACCGACCCTGGCCAAGCTCGGCGGCGAGCGAGGGGGGAAAAAGGGAGAAGGAGGAGGCCTTCTCAAAAGCGGCGTGGCTTCTCAGAAGCCCTCCGGCTTTCTGAAAGGTTTTTCGTGTCTTCGGGCAAGGCGCCGAAAACGTCCCAGAAGACGTCCGAGCCTTCCGAGAAGGCCCGCCCCTCGTCACTCCCCCCTGCGCGCGTCGCCGACAGGCCCATCCTGAGCCCGGGATCGGCGCGTACGCCAACCCGGCCTGGCCAAGGAGGCGTGGGCACCGATCTTGGGGTCCAGCATCGGCTCCGCCAGGATCGGTAAGGTGGTCCGCGGACGCCCCCCGGGCTGTCGGTGCACGCGAGGTCGTGGCCTGCAAGGCTGGAGATAAACAGTGTTGTACGTGTTCGTTTTGTTTCGGTTTCCGTCGTTCTGTCTTCGTTCTGCCTTTGCTGCGAAACGAAGTCAGAACGAAAACGGTCCACGAAATCGCCAGAAACACTGTTCAGCTCGCGCCCTGGTGGCCTGTGAAGAAGGTCCCCTTGGGGCACTTGCACTCCTCGCTGCGCCGCCACGCCGACTCCCGCTCCTCCGCCCCCGCGACGGCGGCCGCGCACTCGGAGGGTGGCGCCGCCGCCGCCTCGAGGAGGACGTCGGGGGGGGCGTAGCGCGCTGCGCGCGCAACTGGCGCAGCGGGGCCCGCCCGCCAGGGGTCTCGCTCGCCGCCTGCACAGAGGAGGAGCGCGGCGAGGCCCACGCAGCAGAGCACGGCGAGCAGCATCGAGAAGCCGCCTCGGCGGGGCGTCAAGGACATCATGTCGTGCTGGACGGTCCTGGCGCGATTAAACGACGTATGACAAGCTCATGGCTGCGAACCTCGAGCTTGGGAAAAACGTCCTCGAGCCAAAGTGGCTGCGAACGCCTCTCTTGGGGCCGCTCATGGATACCCTCCTCGCTCCCCGCCCCGCTGCTTCACAGACTGGCGGGTCGCAACCCGGAAGTTTGCCGTCCGCAATGCGCGAAGCGAAGACCAGCAAAACAAAATTACAGTCGGGAGCTTTTGCTTATCGTGTCGCGGCGGCGCCCAGCGTACCCTGCAAGCGGATAGCTATGAGAGCGTGTCGCTTCGCTCCGCGGGGTGGAAGCTTCGAAACGCTCGGGACGCCGGACGTGGTTAGCGTATCGCGCCGCAGCGTCGTGGGCCACAACAAGCGGAGCGACACACTGAGCAAAAGTTCCCGACCGCATGACCGTCCACAGCAGCACCCTTCGGGGTGGTGGCCCTTGGCCACTGATGAAAGGGAGGGGAGCTGGAAGAGCTCCATACTGCGCTGCTCACGTACCCGAAACGTGCGGGATGCCAACCACAAGGAGCGGCGCCACGCATACGCGGAAAGCTGTCAGCGCACAGATCCTAAAAACAGTCTCCACATTTACACGTGTGACCTCTGATACCTCCAGCACCGCACGCGGACCACTTATACGCAACGAGCACGTCATTCAAGCACAGCTTGTAGACGCCTACAAGCAATTTGAATGATCGTTGTATAGACACGTGCACCGCCCATAGTGGTACATACTGCATATGCGACTAGCAAAATACAACCATGCAGATTCCCCAATCAGTGCTTGCCTCTGTCGGAGTCCTAGCGGATTAATTTGGTTAGGTGAGGTGCGCCGCCGATTTCGGTGGCAGGCCCGGGTCCCTGGGTGTTCGGGTGCCCAAGTGCCAAGGTAACCGGGGATGCCTGGGTGCCCGGTTGCCCGGGTGCCCGGGTGCCCTGATGCCCGGTAGCCCTATAGCCCTATAGCCTTATAGCCTTATAGCCCTATAGCCCTATAGCCCTATAGCCCTTTGCCCTGTAGCCCTATTAGCCCTAATAGCCCTAATAGCCCTATAGCCCCGTAGCCCAACAGCCCTATAGCCCTATAGCCCTGTAGCCTTATAGCCCTAGCCCTATAGCCCTATAACACTATCGCTCTATAGCCCTATAGCCCTATAGCCCCATAGCCTTATAGCCCCATAGCTGTCCAGCCCCATGGCCCCATAGCCCCATAGCCCTAAACAAATTATGATTAGGTTTTCTCAGGTATCACATATGTACGCACGCTACGTACACCACGCACCGCAGCGATTGGAAAGTGGCATGGGCCCACTCGTTTACCGCCAATGGTATATGTAAAATGCGACTGGTAAGCCTGTATGAGAGTTCCACTGTTCTCCTTCCATCCCCCTGCCATCCACTCCTCCCTTCTTCACCGAAGAAGACTCGTGGGGTACTATAGAAGAAGCCCGAAGCCACTCCAGATAACGGAATGCGCGCGTAGCACCGTGATCCGCTAGCCCGAAGAAGAAACAACAAAAAAAAGGAATGTGAAAGCGCGCGTAGCGTCGCAATCCGATAGCCGTGAGAAAAACAAAAAACAAAAAGGAGTGTGGAACTGAGGACCCAGATGACGGACAACGCGCGTAGCGTCGCGATCTGTTCGCCCGGGGAAGTGAAGGGGAAACATGAGGGGGCCGGTTGGCCTCGGGAGCCCCAGATGACGGAAATCGCACGTGGCGTCGCGATCCGTTGGCGGGGAGAACTAAGAAGGAACAATGTGAGGGGGCTCGCGTCGCCACGCCCAAATGACGGAAAACGCGCGTAGCGTGCGATCCGTCAGTCGGGAGGAATTCAACGGGGGGGTGGTTCGAGGGGGGCGGCAGGTCGAGCCCAAGACCTAATGACAAAAGCTTCCTTCCGAGAGGCCTCCAGAGGCCTCAAGATAGCCCAAGACGGTCCAAGATGGCCTCTACGACGGCTCCAGAGGGGGTCACGAGGCTTCCAACTTTGCCGAGGACGCCTCGAAGACGGCTTCAGAGGCCTCCAAGACGGGGTGCAAGAGGCCTCCAAGACGCCCCAAGAGGCCTCCAAGAGGCCTCCAAAAAGGGCCCCCAAAGGCACAAGTAATTGGTTGTCGATGGTTTTGAAGTGTTGGGAGATCTCGTCCTTTCGGCTTCCCGACACTCCAAGACCGCCCAAGAAGCCCCCAGGATCGCCCCTAGACGGCCCAAGAGGCCCCCAAGACGGCCCCAGGAGAGCCCACGACGGTCCCAGGAGCCCAAGAAGCCTCCAAGATGGCCCAAGAGGCCCCCAAGACGGCTCCAGGAGGGGGCCCAGACGGGGTACCCGAACGGACTTTTCGGGTCATCGGCCCCAAGACGACCCCAGGAGGCCCCAACAGGCCCCGAATAGGCCCCAAGCGGCCCCCAAGAACCCCCAAAGAGGCCCCCACGAGGTCTCAAAACGGCCCCCAGGAGGCGTTGACACGGCCTCCCGAGGGGACCTTCCATGGTGCTTCCACTTTAACCGAACGAACACCCCGGCGAAGGAGGAGGAGGAGAAGGAGAAGGAGGAGGAGGAGCAGGAGGAGGAGGACTTAGTGGGAGGTGTTAAGAGCTTGTCACGCCACTGTGAGCTCTTGGGAGCCTTGGTGTTCAGAGCTTGTAACGTCACCGTTCGCTCTTGGGAAGCGTGGTGTTAAGAGCTTGTCACGTCAGTATGGGCTCTTGGGAGCCTTGACCTTTTTACAGCACCGCTCGCTCTTGTGAGCCTTGGTGTTCAGAGCTTGTAGGGTCACCGTTAGCTCTGGGGAGCCTTGGTGTAAAGATCTTGTCACGCCACTATGGGATCTTGGGAGCCTTGGTGCTCAGAGCTTTCTGCGTCAACGCTCGCTCTGGGGAGTCATGGTGTCAAAAGTTGTTTACGTCCTCGCTCGCTCTGGGGAGCCCTGGTGTTACGAGCTTGGCGTCGCCGGGCCTTCTTGGGGGTCCTGTTGGGGCCCTGTTGGGCCCTCTCGAGGCCCTCTTGGGCAGTCCTCGGGCTCTTTTGAGCCTTCCGTCTTGGAGCGTGCCTTAGGGCCTCTTAAGGCCCCATTGGAAGCCCCTCATGGGGCCCACTTACGGCTCTCTTCGGAGCCTCTCGGCGCTCTCTGGGGCCGTCTTGGAGCCCTTTGGGGCCGTTCCGGGGGCTCTTTGGGCGCCTTGGGGCCCTCTTGGAGACCTCTGGAGCCATCTTGGAACGAGCTTGGGGGCCTCTTGGGCCGTCCTGGGCCGTCGGAAGCCTGAAAAGGCGAGACTCTCCCAAAGTCACAAGGACCCAAGAGAAATCCACGCTTCTCGCCTCGTCAGGGTCGTCCCCGTGCCAAGCAAGTCTAATGACCGCCAGCGCCGACCCCTACTTCCCCAGCCAATCATCCTCGTAGTAGGAGCTCTTCACCCGCCGGTACGCCTTCTGGGAGAACTCGCGCACGGCCTCCGGGAGAAGAGAAGGCGGCAAGGAGTGCGCCCTACCCGGCCCCCTGGCAGGAGAGGTGGTGGCGGGCGCGGGAAGTCGATACCCGATCCTCGATCCAGGAACAGTCGCGAAGTATCGAGATGTGCGGCCCGTTTTGCCACTCTGTGGGGGAACTGTGGAGGCCTCTGGGAAGCCCCCACGGACCTTCAGGGACCCCCAGAAAGCCAGTCTTCTAGCGACTCTAAACAGTTTCCCTGGCAGTGCTTCCAGATGTTACAGGCCGTGCGGTGACCTCGAACCATCAAAGCACCTCAGCAGACGTTCAGTCACCGAATGAATCTGGGACCTTGGTGGCCAGTCCCCCGAGACATTGTCGGAAAAGGACCAAGTTTCAAACCTGCGCGATCACCCCGAATCCTTACTGACTCACGCAGTGTGTGGTCACTACACCGTTTTGAGACGTTCGAAGACCCCAGGACAGTCGAACCAACAACTCACCATGAAAAGCTGGTCCCAGGGACATGATCGCGGGCTCCACAGGCCGGCAACTCGAAACGGACACGTTGGCGGATGCCTGATGCAGGAGAGGGAGAGGAAGAAGCACTGTCAACCACAGATCCAGACCTCCGACGCTTTCACAACGTGGACCCCCTGAGGTCTGGACATGCCCCCTGGGACCAACCTTTTATCCCGATCAATTTTGACAGTCCCGCGGCGCGGTGAGGGACCCCCGAAGCCGAAAATTGACGAAACCCTTCGGTGGTGATTTTACCACGAAGTAAGCAGGTATGGGACAAAGGTGGGGATGCAAGGGAATGATGCAAGACCTTTGGAAGCCCATGTCGAAACGATTGCAGCGACATCAGGCTAAAGCACAGGGCCGAACAGGCGAGGAAGCCACGGTGACAGCACTGCGCCCATACTGCAATGCTCAACTGCACAGGGGGAGCCTGTGCAAGAGGGAAAAGGAGGAGGAAGGAAGGACGACGGGGGACGGAAGAGGAAAGAAAGATGGTGGATGGGAAACCAAAGGGTATCGATACCGCTACTCCCTGGACCTCTCCTGGGGTGCGCTCTGACCAAGAATTCGAGGAGAATCCAGCGGTGGCGACGAGAGCCTTCCAGGAGGCCCAAAAAGGAGAAAACGAGGGAAGGGTAGCGGCTTGGGTACGTTTTCCTCCTCTGACGAAGGGGGAGGAAGAGGAGGACGGAGGGAGCACGCCGTCGGTATCTCGACGGCTGCCAGCGACGGGGAGGGCGGCGGCGGCACGCGCTCCCTGCAAGGGCTGCAGGGTGCCTCGCGGGATCCTGACGGCCCCATGCCTCCGTCGTGAGATCTTCACGCCATAGACGTCACGGGGTCGTCAAGTCTTCGGGTCATAGGGGCTTCGGGATTCGGGTAAAGGGGACTCAACGCATTCGGGTCTTAAGGTCCTGGGGTCTGAGACATGACGCTTTGAGGGTATTCAAAATGCTCTGGCTTTAAGGCATCTGGGCCTTAGGGTACTAGGGGCTTACTTAGAGCCTTAGGGCTCTA